CATTTACTCTTAAAGGTTGTATGGAGGATTTTTTTTTGTTTTTTTTGTTTCAAATTGTCAATGATAGATTATAGATGCAGTAGCCTTGTAATTATGATGACCAAAAAAAAGAGAATAAAAATTCATCAACTCTGGACGTGGTGGGGCTAAACATTTGCCAATAGATAACGACACTGCCTCGTTATCTGTGAGCTGACAGGCTGTCAATCAAACTCCCTACGTTTCTAGTGTAACTGACTTGCCTGCGCGCCGCCGTTACGTGGTTTACGTACGACTGTCACGCAGTCCACACGCAACAGTTCTTAGCGGCTTTTTTTGACCTATATCTTCCTCGCAGTTCGCACAAAGTTTGTTGCGATGGCGACAAGAATCCAGGAGCAGTTCGCCACAAAAGAAAGTCCGTTTTTGAGGTCGCTGAAAAAAGAAGACAAGGGGAAAAGCAGCGAAGCCAAACTAAGGTGATTCTTATAGATTCATTCCAGCGATGGCGCGACTGAAGCAGACGCAGGGTCTAAAGACTGAACCACTGGTCCACAAATTACTCCTGGACAGGAAACTTCTGCTTATTATGAAAACGTACTTTATTTCCAAGAGCCACACAAACGTTTTTCAGGACACGAAAGCGATATCCTATGTCTGAAAACGTCATTTTCAAGGCAAAGAAAGAGTCCGCTTGCTGCTGCGTGTTGTAGCTAGTTCATTCGCACTGAATCTCCGCGCACTCTTCTCTGCACCCCTTTCCTGCTCCTCTCCCTGCTCCCTGCTCCGCTCTTCTCCCTGCTCCTCACTTCTCGTCCGCGAACGAAATGTCCGTGCACCCGCTCCCCCCGCTCCTCACTTCTCCGTCTTGTCTAACCAACACTGTAGTTAGTTGTTTACAAGTCATGTGCAGCACCGGTTGTAAACAAACCTGTTTCTGGCGTAAAGAGGAGGCGGGAGGAGGCGTTTCTACGTAGGAGCTGTGGGGGAGGGGGGGTGGTTTCACGCATGCGCAACATTTGAAAAAGGACAAACAGTCGCTGGATTTCTCGTTCCTTGGAAAATCCTCTATACAACCTTTAACCCACACTGTTTTTGTTTTGTGGTGCAGTGTGTAAAGCTACGTCGTCTAAAGTTATCCTAGAGAAGATCTATTTAAGACTGTATACAGTTTTCACAACGACCGGAAGTGCCTCGCTGTAGTTTTGGGTGTGTAAATGTGTAAATCTGCCCCATCACCAAATCTTCAACCAACAAGGTCCACAAAGGATAAACATTCTAACATGAAGAATTTATCCACAACTATCAAGAGAAGAAAGACCAAAACTTAAAGGAAACAACGATGAGAATCTGTGGATCATTTGTTGATTTGTTTTTCCGTATAAAACCAAAAATAAGAAAACTAAACTATTTGAAATAAAAAATAAAATAAAACTGATAACAATTTGTTTTTTCAGTTTGTGATTTTGTGTTTAAATGAATAATGTTAAAAACGGATAACGACCATTTCCCGTTTCCATGACTTAAACTGCGATACTGGACTTTTGCGCCGCATATGGACTGAACCAGGAGTATCGGAACAGGCCCAGAGGTGCACCCGTGTAGACTGTCGGGTGACTGAGACCAGTTTAGTCTGATCACTGGTCTCTCCAAACGAGCTGTGAGACGCTGAACATCCAGAACATCCAGAACATCCAGAACGCTGCAGCTCGGGTCCTGACTCAAACTAGGAAGTACGAGCACATAAGTCCTGTGCTCAGGTCTCTGCACTGGCTCCTGTGGCTCAGAGACTTTAAAGCAGCTCTGCTTGTACAAGTGTCTCCATGGACCGAGCACCAAAGTCCATCTGTGACATGTTAGTGTCATATGAACATCTCACACTCTGAGGAGCTCAGGGACCAACTCCTGCTGGTGCCCAGAGTCACGACTAAACAAGGGGAGTCAGAGTTTCAGGTTCATGCAGCTAAAACCTGGAACAGTCTGAACATGTGAGACAGACTCTTCTGTGACGCTGTTTAAATCCAGACTCTAAACATTTCTGTTTAACTGTGCAAATAACTGAAAGGTTTTCATTCCGCACTCTTCTCTCCAATTTATGTCTCTCACATAACAAGACAAACAAGACAAGCAAACAAGCAAACAAGACAAAACACCACGGCCAAAAACCTCGTCCTTCTCCTTCTCAATCTCCTCCTGAAAACAAGTAAGTTGTTCATGTTCTGGCTCCGGTACGAGAGGAACTTTAAAATCTCCAGGTGCTCAATGCTCGCGTCCATGTTTGGACAACTTCTGTAAACACAGAGACGCTCGCTGCGGTTGACGTCGTCGTGTCTCCAGTGTCACATGTGGGACACTTTCGGGCCGTTTAATGTTCACACTGGAGTCACACAAGTCACATTTAATTGGAAATGTGAACGACCTCGCAAAAACATCGGATTTCACAAAGAAATCTGAATTGAGCGTTAAGCCCTGCAGTCTGAACGTAGCCTTAGATTGATGCTTCTTTCTTCTTCTTGTTTAGTTCGCAGTGAGGGGAAGGTGTTCCACTTCCGGATCCAGCGCTCGGTGATCGGGGCGTACCTGGTGTCAGAGAAGATCTCCTTCGCCACACTGGGGGAGCTCATCTCGTATTACCAGAAGAACCCGCGGAGTCTGGGGGTGCTGCTGCAGGAGCCCTGTGCCCAGCAGGTGAGGGGGGGAGGGGGGGGGGGGGTACAGGCAGGGGGGGCCTGACCAAACAGTCACTTGAGATGTGAGAAGAATCCCTCAGTCGTCCAGGTAGAATCCACGACGAGGAGAAAATTCAGTTTGTCGACTGGACAAAAGTTAGTTTGGTTGAAGACGTTTCGCAGCTCATCAGAACTGAAGAAGCAGCTTGGATGAGCTGCGAAACCATCTTCAACCAAACTAACTTTTGTCCAGTCGACAAACTGAATTTTCTCCTCACCAAACAGTCACTTCTACATTCTGTCTGAATCCAGAAGAGTCTGAAATTGGACCATAAAGAGTGAAAAATCTCCATCCAAACCGTAGACTAAATGTATAAATGGACATAACTGACTTATGAGCCGCCGTTTCCAAATAGACCTTTTTCACAAAAAGATTCACGCTTTAGGTTTGCAAAACTGCCAGTTTATGGTTTTCTGTGTCAAAATGTGTGTGGAAGTGTTTGGCGTATTCTCCAGCAGCTACATAAATCTGCTCCATCACCAAATCCTGATGTATCCATGAAGAATTTATCCACAGTTATCAAGGTAAGAAAGACGAAAACTTAAAGGTGAACAACGACTAGTGTTAGTGAACTACTGAACAAAACTAACGCTATGTCCATGAATAAAACAGAAGTAACTTGTTAAGACTGATTCTACCATTAAAATTAAAAATCGATTTCATGATGTGGGTATTAGCACAGATAGATTTGTGCAGGTCGATTGCGAGACGTCTCTAGGGTTTTTTCAGTCAGACTCTCTTTCCTGTTTATGACGTAGGAGGTGACCCAGGTGAATGTTCTCCTTGTGAACAGAGCGTAATCAGTGCGTCGCATTGGCCACAGGAGGCGCAATTTGATGCCACGCGGTTTTAGACGTCGCAGACACTTAGAAACCGACACAACCTGTTTATGAACAGTTTTTAACGTATCAGAAAATAACTACTCAGTTCTCTGTTTGAGTGTCATTTTCGGGACCTGATTCAGGATTCGGGGATGTGATGTGAAATGAAGGAGCTCATTGGCCATCGTCATTTACAAATAATAATTTCTCTCACCTCAGATGACGCTCTAGTCCACCTTGTGATGTCATGAAGAGCACTGTTGGGCAAGTTACTTTGAAACTGTAATGCGTTATTTATTACCTATTACTGTCATTTCAAAGTAATTCGTTACATTACAGTATTACTGCATTTAAAATGTAAGGCATTACATTACTATTGCATTACTTTAAGTTACTCTCACCAAAATAACTTTTGCACTGTATATGGACTGAACCAGGACTAAACCAGGTCTAAACAGTGTGGAGTTCTTTGTCAGTCCTTTCGCCCGCGGTTACCTGAAGGTCTATGAGGGCGCATCTCCGGCGTTTCACCGCTGCTGATATCGAGGTGATTTTAGCGAATTTGTATGAAGAAAAAAACACCACTTCAATCCAGGTTAAAAAACAACAACATTGTAACGCGCGTTACTCACATTTGTACCGAGTAAAATATTACTATTTTTTCCCCTGTAATGCCGAACATTACTGCGTTACAGCAAAAAGTAATGCATTACTGTAATTCGTTACTTTTATAACGCGTTACTCCCAACACTGATGAAGAGGTAGTTTTCAAGTTAACAGCTTCTTTTACTTTCAGTAGAGGTTCGCAGTTTCAGGACTGAAATGGGCGGCAGTAGCTCAGAGCGTTTGTCCACTGATCTGAAGGTTGGCGGTTCAAATTCCACAATTTTGACATAAACATCACAGGTTGGCTGGTGCGATTCCAGCTCCCACAGATGAATGCTGTCGTTGTGTCCTTGGGCAAGACACTTAACCCACCTTGCCCCCAGTGTCTGTGTGCACTGGTGTGTGAATGGGTGAGTGGTTCCTTGTTGTAAAGCGCTTTGAGAGCCTTGAAGGTGGAAAAGCGCTATAGAAAAATGTGACCATTTACCATGTGACCATATAAATGATTCTAGTGAAGGTGTATGGAGTGTAAAAACACAGTGGAGCACATCCCGTACCAGACTGTGTGTGTCCAGAGGGTTAGTGTGTTTTCCATTTGAGAAAAGAACTCAACCTAAATATGTAGGATTTATCTCCAGGTGTTTGTGACGAGAAACAACATTAAAACATCGATCGTAAAACAGTTTGAAATGCTCGTATTCTGACAGCTCTATTCCAGTCTGGCTATGCGCCCGTTGTAGGGAGTATTATACCTGTGATCTGGACAGAGTTGGAAGTGTTATAATTTCCCCGAGAGCCGTGATGGATGCAGAGCGGCCCGTTGTTTGTAAATGTGATGTAAAGTATGTTGAGTGTGAGTCTGAGGTAATGTTCTCATCATTTGGCACAGAGTTTACGGCACACGGGGTTTACGGGCGCACGGGGTTTGCGGCGCGCACGGGGTTTGCGGCGCGCACGGGGTTTACGGCGCACGGGGTTTACGGCGCGCACGGGGTTTACGGCGCACGGGGTTTACGGCGCGCACGGGGTTTACGGCACGCACGGGGTTTACGGCACGCACGGGGTTTACGGCACGCACGGGGTTTACGGCGCACGGAGTTTGCGGCGCACGGGTTTACGGCGCGCACGGGATTTACGGCGCGCACGGGGTTTACGGCGCGCACGGGGTTTACGGCGCGCACGGGGTTTACGGCACGCACGGGGTTTACGGCGCACGGAGTTTACGGCGCACGGGGTTTACGGGCGTTTACGGACAGAGTTTACGGCACGGCACGGACAGAGTTTACGGCGCCCACAGAGTTTACGGCGCCCACAGAGTTTACGGCGCCCACAGAGTTTACGGCGCCCACAGAGTTTACGGACAGAGTTTACGGACAGAGTTTACGCGCCCACAGAGTTTACGGAGTTTACGGCGCCCACAGAGTTTACGGACAGAGTTTACGGCGCCCACAGAGTTTACGGACAGAGTTTACGGCGCCCACAGAGTTTACAGAGTTTACAGAGTTTACACAGAGTTTACGGACAGAGTTTACACGAGTTTACGGACAGAGTTTACGGACAGAGTTTACGGACAGAGTTTACGGACAGAGTTTACGGACAGAGTTTACGGCAGAGTTTACGGACAGAGTTTACGGACAGAGTTTACGCGCCCACAGAGTTTACGGCGCACAGAGTTTACCACAGAGTTTACGGCGCCCACAGAGTTTACGGCCACAGAGTTTACGGCGCCCACAGAGTTTACGGCACAAAGTTCCGCAAAGTTCCGGCTCAGTTATTAAACTGCCAGGCCAGATAAATTTACCATCTCCACATAAAGTCAAGTACAAGTCTGGACCAAGTCATCTCACTTTTTGGACACAAGCGCAAATCTTGTTTTGGTTCTTCTGGTGCAGTGTTTTTCCTTTTTGTCATGAGTTGGGTTGTAACTTTTTTTTATTTTTTTAACTTTCTTTTAGGGGCTTCTTTTGTTAGATGTTTGTTTTGATGTGAATGAACGATGCTTTTCTCTGATTGGCTAATCTGCCTGTCAATCACACCCACAGAAATGCATATATTCTGTTCCTCTCCTCCTCCTCCTCCTCTGTTCCTCTCCTCTCTTCTTCTTCTCTTCCTCTGCGTCTTGTTTTTGTACATTCGGATGAAATTTAACGTTTCTTGTTGCGTTTTGTGTTTTTCCAGAAGAGTCGGTGAGGCAGAGGAGGAGCCACAGCGGCGCACTCCGGCATTCATTACAAACATTTCCAAACATTTCCAAACGTGCTCGAGCATAAAATACGATCATTACATTTTGTGTCCAAACGGAGATTATTCTGTCAGCAAATGTTCACAGCAAATGTTCATTCTGACGCCTTCAGCTGATCAAGAGTTTAATGTGAAGAAGAGAAACCAGATATTTCACTCAAGTAAGACCACGTTTTAGTCCTTGTTCAGGTCTGTTTTAGTCCTGGTTCAAACCCAGTTCAGCCCTGGTTTACTCCTGGTTCAGTTATTTTTTTTTTCTGTCCTGTCCTAGTCCTTAGTCCTAGTCTGTTTTCTGTTTTTAGGTTTAGTCCTGGTTTAGTCCTTGTTCGGGTCTAGTTTAGTCCTGGTTTAGTGCCAGATTAGTCCTGCTTTAGTCCTGGTTCAGTCCTGGTTTAGTCCCAATTCAGTCCAGGTATAGTCTTTTTTTCCTGATTTAGTCTTTAGTTCTTGTTCAGTCCTGGTTCAGTCCTGATTTTGTTCTGGTTCAGTCCTGGTTTAGTTCTGGTTCAGTCCTAGTTTAGTTCTGGTTGAGTTCTGGTTTAGTCTTTAGTCCTGTTTTAGTCCTTGTTCGGATCTATTTTAGTCCCTGTTTAGTCGTGGTTTAGTCCTTATTCAGATCTAGGCCTAGTTTAGTCCTGGTTAAATCCAGACTGGATTAGGCCTTGTTTAGTCTTGGTTTTGTCCTGGTTTAGTCCCAGTTCAACCCTAGTTTAGTCCTATTTCAGGTGTAGTTTAGTCCTAGTTTAGTCCCAGGTTAGTCCTGGTTTAGTTCTGGTCCAGTCTTGGTCTAGTCATGGTTCAGGCCTTGTTTAGTCCTGGTTTAGTCTTTAGTCCTGCTTTAGTTCTGGTTCAGCCCTTGTTCAGAACTGGTTTAGTTCTAGTTCAGACCTGGTTCAGTTCTGGTTTAGTCCTAGTCTAGTCACAGTTTAGTTCTGGTTTAGTCCTTGTTCAGATCTAGGCCTGGTTTAGTCCTGGTTAAATCTGCCTGGATTAGTCCTCGTTTAGTCTTGGTTTAGTCCTGGTTTAGTCTTTAGTCCTGCTTTAGTCCCAGTTCAACCCTAGTTTAGTCCTATTTCAGGTCTAGTTTAGTCTTGGTTTAGTCCTAGTTTAGTCCTGGTTTAGTTCTGGTTCAATCCTGGTTTATTTCTGGTTTAGTCCTAATCTAGTCACGGTTTAGTCCCACTCCAGTCCTGGTCTAGTCCTGTTTTAGTCCCGTTTAAAGGCACAAGAGTTTCAGCTAAACTACCACTTGATGACATCACAAGGTGGATCGGAGCATTTTGATCTTTGCAGACGTGTACAGCCCGATAACTCAGGTTTACTCAAACAAACTCATTTGTGAATGAAACAAAACTCAAGTCCAGGTCTGAAACGAGATTATAACACGACTTGAATCTCACGAGAGTCCGTTTCCCGTAAAGTCGGACCTTAAATCGTTAAATAAACCCGTAAACCGAAACCTCGTGTTCGTAAATTGCGTTTCCGCTCTCGTATAAATCCTCCGAGCTCCGTGTCGTTTGCATATCAGCGTTTCTTTGTCTTAATTTCCTTCTCGACCCAAATCTGTCAGTCTTTGATCAGAGAGATTTAAAAACAACACGACTTGAGTGAGACCGGACTGAACAATGAACAAGAGACTCACACAAAGCTGCAGAGTTTTAAAGGGCCGACGAACACAGAACGGAAAATGGAAAACGGGCTTTTTTTTTACAGTTTTTAGTCGGGTTTTAATGTGGTTTCTGCGTCAAAAACAGACCTGGAGTTGGGTTTTGTTTCATTCACACTTTATTGTTAGTCTGAGTACGTATTACAGTCCTGGTTTAGACCTGGTTTTAGTTCTGGTTTAGTTTAGGTTCGTCCTAATTCAGTCCTGGTTTCAGTCCTGGTTTAGTTCTGGTTCAGTCAAGTTCTAGTCCTGGTTTAGTCCTACTTAGGTCAGTCCTGGTTCAGTCCTGGTTTAACCTTTAGGTCTGGTTTAGTCCTGGTTTTAGTCCTAGTTCAGTTCTGGTACAGTCCTGGTTTAGTCCTGGTTTAGACCTGCCTCAGTCCTGGTTTAGTCTTGTTTTGGTCTTGGTTTACTCTTTAGTCCTGGTTCAGTCCTGATTTAATCCTGCTTCACTCTGGGTTTTAGTCCTTGTTCAAGTCTGCTTCAGTCCTGGTTCAGTCCTGGTTTTAGTTCTGGTTTAGTTTAGGTTCGTCCTAATTCAGTCCTGGTTTCAGTCCTGGTTTAGTTCTGGTTCAGTCAAGTTCTAGTCATGGTTTAGTCCTGGTTTTAGTTCTGGTTTAGTTTAGGTTTGTCCTAATTCAATCCTGGTTTAGTTCTGGTTCAGTCAAGTTCTAGTCATGGTTTAGTCCTGGTTTAGTCCTAGTTAGGTCAGTCCTGGTTCAGTCCTGGTTTAACTTTTAGGTCTGGTTTAGTCCTGGTTTTAGTCCTAGTTCAGTCCAGGTTTAGTTCTGGTACAGTCCTGGTTTAGTCCTGGTTTAGACCTGCCTCAGTCCTGGTTTAGTCTTGTTTTGGTCTTGGTTTACTCTTTAGTCCTGGTTCAGTCCTGATTTAATCCTGCTTCACTCTTGGTTTTAGTCCTTGTTCAAGTCTGGTTTAGTCCTGGTTTAGTCCTAGTTAAGTCCTTGTCTCAGTCCCCAAGTTCAGTTCTCGTTTAGTCCCATTTCAGTCCTGGTTTAGTCCTTGTTCAGGCTTAGTTTAGGCCTGATTTAGCTCCAGTTCAGTCCTGGTTTAGTCCTGGTTTAGTCCTTGTTAGGTCAGTCTGGATTAATCCTTGTTTAGTCCTTGTTTAGTCCTGCCTCAGTTCTACACTGTCCTACACCATTTTGTGTTTGAATTTGCTCAATTTCATGTATAATATTTATTTAATTTATAATAATTTTGGTTGATTTCATGTTGAATGTTTTATTTTATTATTATTTATTTTTAAATGTCCAATCATTTCACTTTTTGTTCTCAGTTTGCTGATTCACACTGAGCAGGTTTTTAATCATTTATTTGCACTTTTACAATACAATAAACATCTGAGATTTAATCATGTGCTGCTGTTTTTATTTCACACACACAAAAACAAAAAATTATAATTAAAAAAAATAAATAAATAAATACATTAATTAATAATAAATAAATATAATAATAATAATAATAATAATAATAATAATAATAATAATAATAATAATAATTAATTAATAATAAATAAATAAATGAAATAATGTAAAGTAAAATAAAATAAAGTAGTTGTCTGGAATGGAATGTATCAACCACAACTTAAGCATGTTTAAAAAAAAAAAAAAAAAAAAAAGTGTAATATGTGCATTTAATTTTAAAAAATATTACAAACCATATACACAATTTATAAATATTTTCTCCCATAACATTTCAGATTTAAAAAAACAAAACCAGTGTATTCCATAGTGCAGGCATTTTCCCACAGAGTCAATCAAGCTCCAGTATTTGAACTATAAACACGCTGAGTGAGCAGTTTCACCTGGACGTGACATTTAAAGACGACGTCTCATGATGTTTTTTGTCTTTCTAAACCGATCGTAGTTGCTTTAAGAACAGAACGCCACAGGGAATTACCTTTAAACAACATTATTCGTTAGTTTAATTCACGTTTTTAATCACACTTCCTCTTTAAAACGAGCTGAACGACCAACAGGGGGCAGCAAAGTCCAGTTTCGTTGCGATCTGAGGAAAAAAAAAAAGACGTTAAAGGTGAAGTTTTGGGATAAATAAATAGAGATCGGCGAGATTTCGAGAGCTACCCGATTGGTCGGCGCTTCGTGGAGGGGGCGTGGCTAATGAAGTGGGCGGGGCTTATTAAAACGACTCAGCAGATGTTAAACGATAACGTGGATCTGAAAACAAAACGGAACTCTAGGGACGTTTTCGATCATGGAAGATGGATTTCGCATTATACCGTGATTTATTTATTGTTTTTTTTGTTTTGTTTTTTTCATTAATTTTAGTTTTTATTTGTGTTTTCAGAGAGAGCTGTTCGACATGGAGCCCTGGGAGCGACCTCGGGAGGAGTTTAAGCTGTACAAGAAGCTCGGGGAGGGGCACTTCGGGCAGGTGTGGGAGGCTCTGTGGACCACGCAGAACAAGAAGGTGGCCATCAAGACTCTCAAACAAGGTACGCAACTGATCCTGGTCCCGGTTTAGTCCCGGTTTAGAAGAAGCTGGGGGAGGGGCACTTCGGACAGGTGTGGTTAGAGTTCTTGCTGTACTTTGAGAAGAAAATGTAGAGTACCTGTGGAGTTTTCAGGCTCTAAAAGGAAACCTCAAATGCACCAGTGGTTTTCAGATTCTTCGATGGTGTTGGGAGTCAGTATCACCCTTTGATGACATGTTGCTGTTCATAAGAAATATTTAAAAGAAAAAAAGTTGCAGAGAGAAAGACAAACAGACGGATAGATAGATACAGACTGAGAAGCCAGATGTGATACTGCCCTGTAAAACAACAACAACAACACATTTGCTAGCCTTCGTACAAACCGTCTGACCTCGCAGCATTAGGATTCATTCTCTCGACGGTGGGCAGGCACTTTTTTTATTTAACCAGTTGCTGCTGTTTGGTCGTGACGTATGTAATGCACCAAATCCCGTAGGAAGAAGGAGAATAACGTCTTTCCCCTTGATAAAATTCACCAAACATTCTCTTTGTTCCGGCTTTAAATCCTCGATCTCGAGAATCGTCGCCAACACAGAATGTCTGTCTTCATGTACATCCATCTCGACACTTTGTTTACTGTTGTGTTGTTCCACAAAAGGAACACCACGAGTTTGACGTCATGACTTCACAGCTCACAGCTGATTGGCCGGTGTGAGGTTTACAACTTCTGGGGTTCTTGCAAAACCGTCCAGTGTATTTTGATTCCTGACCTAGTCACTGAAGAGAAATGAAATTGAGTGGAGGCACTAGGTGGCACCAACTTGGTTAGTCATTTGTCACACAAAAAAAACAAAAAAGTGGAGAAAAAGGGAGTGTTCGCTGTTTTTCTGTGAAACTCTTCAGATAAAGATGAACTTGTCTTTTGTTCAAAAGATGTTTTTGCTTTGCCTGGAATATTTGACAGTACGTCATTAAACGTATCTGTGTACATGGAGACATGCACAGGAGGCGGCGCCACCAGGAGAATTTACAGGTCTGCGCCCCTCCCCACTTACAGTCAAAGGGCATGTTTTTATGGAACCTTTTAACAATGAAGCACAGTTATTCAATAAATACAAGCTAAGACAAGTTTAATGGCCTATTGTGAAACAGAGACACTTCCAGAGGTGGTCGTCTAGAGTTTGTTTTTGAGATTAAGACGTTTCAGTCATGTCCAGATGATCAGTGGTGAAACGTGTCTACTGTGTACCACAGTGTGGCATTTACACTGCTGGACCAATGAGGGATTACACCGTCTCAAGGCCAATTTATGGTCATGTGTCAAATCGTCTGCGTCACTGCACAGAGCGTCTGCGTCGACCTGAACCCCCCTCTGCAGAGCGTCTGCGTCGACCTGAACCCCCCTCTGCAGAGCGTCTGCGTCGACCTGAACCCCCCTCTGCAGAGCGTCTGTGTCGACCTGAAAGCCCCCTCTGCAGAGCGTCTGCGTCGACCTGAACCCCCCTCTGCAGAGCGTCTGCGTCGACCTGAACCCCCCTCTGCAGAGCGTCTGCGTCGACCTGAACCCCCCTCTGCAGAGCGTCTGCGTCGACCTGAACCCCCCTCTGCAGAGCGTCTGCGTCGACCTGAACCCCCCTCTGCAGAGCGTCTGTGTCGACCAACGTGCACCTCTGGAATTTTCTAATTACACGTTAAAACGACCAAACAGCAAGGGGAAGCGACGCAGACAATAAGAGCTGTGATTGGTCCTTTCTATCAACGCTTCACATCCATTTCCAGTACTCTGCTTTCCTGCTTCATTTTGTTTACACAAACACAATCCTAGTGTTGCGGCAGTGAATTATTTTGCGGCACATAGGTCTCGACGCAAATCCACAAATCAAAAAACGATGGCAACAAGGAGACGGCGGCTGTGTGCATTGGGTTGACACAGAACCATAATTCAGCCTTCATACTTTGCCAGACAAAACTCTCTCCATGTCCCCCGCAAGCAAAGTGACACCTGTAACACTTTTTATCTACTGTAAATGTCATGTTTACTCCCTTATGTTTCCCGTCTCCCCTGTGCTGTTCCAGAGGACACGAAGCAGGACGAGTTTGTGAAGGAGGTGACGGCTCTGAAGAACCTGCACCATCCCAAACTGATCCAGCTGCTGGCCATGTGCTCCAGAGGAGAACCTGTGTACATCGTGACTGAGCTCATGAGCAAAGGCAGCCTCAAGTCCTACCTCGACTGTAAGTACACCACACTTTATATTCCACACGTTATATTCCCCGCACCTGTCACCTACTTACATGATGTTTTTAAATTCAGATTAATTGTTCTGAATTAAAATATTCTCCTTTGAGTTTACATGGAAATAATCATTCCAAATTGAGGTTTACATAAAAAAAAAACACGTTAAATCGTTATTATTTAATTCCGCTCAGCGTCGGGGGGTGGGGAAGGTTCTGATTGGACAGAAACAGGAAAGTATTTACATCTTTGTGTTTGGATAATCATCTTGAGAAACCAAATGATTGTATAAACAGCCTGGCCACTATACATTTGGTGCATTACAACTTTACCAACTGCAGACTGATCTCCTCACTTTTAGGCTGCTGTTACAACCACAAAATCCAGGTGATTTAAACATTAAATGCCTCTGTGGTCTGAATCTCACTAACCTGAGCATCTGCAGCCAGTCATGACTCAGTTCTAGTGCAGGACTGTAGTAGGACACCTTTCTGCAGGTTTAAGCACTGGAAATCTGTATGAAATTGTTGTTCCTGTTCTCAAACTTTTAAACAGCTTATAATTTCTAAAATACATTTGTGTAGTTGTGTTTTTTCTGCAAATCAGCCTGTTGTTCAATTATCTTCTTAAAATCTACCCTGCGTACATTTGTTTGATGATTGAACTGTAAAGCACGTTGGGTATCTTGAAAGGCGCTATATAAATGCAATGTTTAATTAATACATTTATTTATTTATTTGTTTTGGTTGTTGTTTGCATTAAACCAATAGAAGAATCAACATTACAGTAGATTAGACCACAAACTGTTATTAACTTCTGTCGCCATCTGTTGGTACTGTCTGTAATTACACACACTTTTCAGGTTTTTATTGATTCCAGACACACATTATTAATTACTGTTCAGACCTACAGCATTTTTGAAAATTGTTTTCATGTGGTGTCTGTCTCTCCATTTGTATTTGTGACATATATGACATTATTACAACAATTTAGTTTTCTTTAATGAACAGTCTCTCAAAGTGGAGGCTAAAGAAAATGTTTGATACTCAATACAAACTGATACCACAATGATGATTAAAAACACACTTTCTTAGACTACAGACTTAAATTTTCAACTCAAACTGACTGCACAGTAACCTGAACTCTGACAGATTTTTAAAAAGTACTACAATCAGAGAGGCACTGGTTTAAGTCTCTGGGGTTCAGGAAAATTCAGATCATATTTATGAAATATAAAATCAAAATCTTATCTACAGTTCCTTTAATTTGATCATGTGACCTCATACTAGCTCTTCTATAGTTGAAGACCTTAGTTCTATAATAAAAACTCGGCTTGAGACGGACTCGTGGCCACTCCATTTCCATTTCCTGCAATTTCTGGGAGTTTGGGCTGAGAGAGAATTCGCCCACAAAGCGAAATGCTTTTTTTAAAAAGTCAACTTCCTGTGTTCTGACAGGGTATTGAGGGCTTCAGATTTTGTGGGGTTTCTTTTCTATTTTCACAACATTAACTTTAAAAATGTTTAAAACACTCAAAGCTCCTAAAAGTGACCTGAGCCTCACTGCTCAGAGCAGAGCGAGCACAGGCTCAGAGCGGCGAGGCTCAGTCTGACAAAGATCACTTTAAGGAGCTTTTAGTGTTTAAACATTTTAAAAAGTTTAAGGTGTGAAAATAAAAAATAATCCTTACAAAATCTGACAGCTGGATGCCCTGTCAGCCAAACACGGCCAGTTTGAATTCCCAAAATGCGTTTTGTCCATGGGACAATTGTTTCTGGGCCCAAGCTCCCAGGAGCTGCAGTACCTGGAGCAGCCACTAGTCGATCTCGAGCCGGGACAGAGGGGAGGGGCTTATCCAGTTTTTATTATAGATCCATGGTCCAAACGCTCCACACCGTGTCACGTTACAGACGACACACGGGTGGGAGGAGCTCGTCTGGACTGAGGAAGTAAATGCGGAAAAGAAAATAATTTTTGCTCCCATGCACCAATGAGCAGAGACCACTCAAAACAACACAACAACATCTTGGGTTCAGTTTTAGATTTTATTATATTTCTTTGCTCAAGACTCTTCTAAACTACTCAGGAAGTCTCCATCTTTGTCCTATTATTTTCCTTCATTTTTCATACTGTTCAAATGGTCCAGTAACGAGACTCGTGTTCTGTTTGTTCTTGTGCAGCTCCGGAGGGCCAGGTCCTGACCTCGGCCCACCTCATCTACATGGGCAGTCAGGTGGCAGAGGGCATGGCGTACCTGGAGGACCGCAGCATCGTGCACAGAGACCTCGCCGCTCGGAACATCCTGGTGGGAGACGACCTGGTTTGTAAAGTGGCTGATTTCGGACTCGCTCGCATCATCAAGGTCAGCGATGGTTCGTGTTTGCGAGTCACACGTGAGGAAATACTCTCACCTTTTCTTTTTGGCTGCTTCTGTCTCTCGTGCAGGACAGCGTGTACACAGCCAGTCGCAGCACTAAGATCCCGGTGCGCTGGACGGCTCCCGAAGCCGCTCTGCACCAGAGGTTTTCGGTGAAGTCTGACGTCTGGTCCTTTGGGGTCCTGCTGTACGAGATGATGTCCAGAGGGAAGACGCCGTATGAAGGTACACGAGATCTGGGCAGGTTTAGACACGAGATCTGGGCAGGTTTAGACACGAGATCTGGGCAGGTTTAGACACGAGATCTGGGCAGGTTTAGACACGAGATCTGGGCAGGTTTAGACACGAGATCTGGGCAGGTTTAGACACGAGATCTGGGCAGGTTTGAAGGACAAAAGGGGGGGTGAGGGAGGTCTGGAGGACTACAGTGGTCCCTCGTTTATCGTTGGGGTTACGTTCTAAAAATAACCCGCAATAGGTGGAATCTGCGAAGTATTCAACTTTATATTTTACAATTATTATATCTGTTTTAAGTCTGTAAAACTCCTCAGCACAAACTTTATACATTTTTCTCACACAGGACATTTACAAACCTTTTTACATCCTTCTTAAAACTTATTGCTGCTGTCGTCCTTTTGTTTTGTTTTCTTCTTGTAATGAACCGAAGATTAATTTATTCCGTAATGGAGCCTACAGCGCAGAGTCCTGCATGGGTCCATTTTTGGAGACTCGCACCCGCCCACACCTGCCGGCACCTGCCCACACTCGTGCAGAGCAGCACCGTACCTGCCCGTTAAACCGAGATTATATCAAACTTTTGCACTGCCTACGCCACGGACTGAACCAAGACTAAACCCAGGACTAACCCAGGACTAACCTAGGACTGATTCCAGGACTGAAGAGGAGGACTAAACCAGGACTGAACCAGAACTGAAACAGGACTCACTGTCGGGACAGGCTCAGAGGTGACCGCAGGAGAAAGGACCGACGGAGAGCTCGATCGCGCTTTGCGGAGGACAAACTGCTTGGCATTTTCCTCTCTTAAGTCCAAGATTAGTCCAAGATTAGTCCAAGATTAGTCCAAGATTAGTCCTGGTTTAGTCCTGGTTTAATTCCTGGTTTAGTCCTGGTTTAGTCCTGGTTTAGTCCCGGTTTATTCCTGGTTTAGTTGTGGTTCAGTCCTGGTTTAATCCTGGTTTAGTCCTGGTTTAGTCCTGGTTTAATCCTGGGTTCAGTCCTGGTTTAATCCTGGTTTCCTGGTTTAGTCCTGGTTTAATCCTGGTTCAGTCCTGGTTTAATCCTGGTTCAGTCCTGGTTTAGTCCTGACCCACCCGTGTGTAATTACTACCTGCCCGTAATACACAATACGCATTCATACGCTGTTAAAAAAAAAAAAAAAAAAAGCAAAATTGCACAAAAAAAACCTGAAACGGCGAGACCGCGAAACGTGAACCGTGATATAGCGAGTGACGACTGTAAAGGGGGAGTTGGGAAGGTCTGGAGGACTAAAGGGGGGAGAGAGGCAGAGGAAAGGTGAGGTCTTGAGGACATTCACCTCATTCTCCTTATCCCTATTTTGTTTTTAAACACTCCTGAACCGCTCTTTCTTGTGGTGGCATTTCTGGTTAAACTCGGATCCCATTCATTTCAATTTGAGAAAATTTGGGAAAGTTTTACCGCTAAAATCTGACATAAAGTCGGTTCAATGTTCATGTCCACCAACGCGTCACACTGCACTGATTCTCTGGTGGCTTTAAAACGGCTTTATCGTCCGTATTTAAGGTGAATCGGGGATTATGAGGGAAGAGAAGGGGCGGGGTCTAGAGGACTTCATGGCTGCTGGTTCGGCTCTGACAATACTGCCGTTATGTCTTTGGGCAACACACTTCTTTCTTGCATCTGTATGAATGTAGAAATGAGATTACAATAATAATGACGTGATAAAAATGACTTTATTGCTGTTTTTGATGAGGTAAGAGTCGATTTTGCCTGATATAGAACCTTTAAAAATAGTTTCACAATTAAGTCAAGGTGAAAAAAAGAAAAGTAAACCTCAATGGGGATATTTTGACCTGCTTTGACCCAGTGACCGACCTTTGTGTAACAGTTGTCTTGTCGTGTAAGTGTTTGAATCCTGAGTCAGGTTCGTAATACTTACTGCACTGGAGGATCAGCCCTTTGTGGCGGTGATTACGGAAACAAAAGCCGAGGGTGTGAAGCTGCGCCCTCCTCTGCTATGCTCCGTGTCACTCACTCTGCGGGTATTTAACGCACAAAAGGATCGGGGCAGGTTAAGGTCACACCGCTGCGCTTTAAACCGTGAAGAAAAATAACAGGACTTCGTAAATATAACAGCGAGTGTGTTTACATGCGCTCGAGTATTCCCGTTATGAGCAGGTTTATTTTGAGTATCCTGGTGATGTGAGAGTCCATGTAGTGTCCGCAACAGACACATCAAGAATCTCGATAACACTTTATAATAACTACACCTTAATTAGCCTTAATTAAGAATGAACAAAGACTTAATTAATAATGATTCACGCTTAGTAACTACTTAATTACTACCTTAATTAGCACTTACACTAATTTGCCTGTGCTGTAAATAGTTGCTCATAATTATTTCATACTTAATTACTCATGATCTAACCCAGGCATGTCCAAACTATGGCCCGGGGGCCAAATGCGGCCCTCAGACAAGTTTTTCTTGGCCCTCAGACTTCCAGGTGAATTGGCCCAAATTACATTGCATCAATTGAAAAGTGAGTTTTTACTGCAAGTTTTTTTGAAAATCTACCTTGATAAAGCTAATATTTCATATTTAGTGTGTGGTTTTAAGGATCTTAGCGTGAATAAAGACTGATGCCTCATTCTAACGTGTTAAACACACACACATCTCAATTATTCCCTGTACTGAGCATCATTCTACAGCCCTCAATTGGCCCTCTGCTTCGTCTGTGTTTAGATATGTGGCCCTTGATGAAAAAAGTTTGGACACCCCTGATCTAACCATTTGAGCATTTAATAATCATTAGTAAACTATGAGAGAGTGATTTACTAATAATGGAATGCAATGTTCATTCAGGCAGCTGTTATGTGTTAGTTAAAGGTTGTATGGAGGATTTTTTTTTAGTTTCAAACTGTCAGTGAAAGATTAAAACACCATTACAGAGATGCAGCAGCTTTGTAATTATGATGACCAAAAAAAAAAAGAACGAAAATCTATCAAGTGTGGACGTAGTGAGGCCAGATAAACATCAGCCAATAGAAAACGAGGCTCCCTCATTTTCTATTGGCTGTTAGGTTGTCAATCAAACTCCCTAGTATAACTGACTCATCGGAGCGCGGGGATTACGTGGTTTACGCAGCGGTTCTTAGAGGCTTTTTCGAACTGTCGCTTCCTCGCATTTCGCACAAAGTTTGTCGCGACGGCGGACGAGAATCCACGACCGGTTCGCCGCAAAAGAAAGTCCGTTTTTGAGATCGCTGAAAGAAAAAGAGAAGAGGAAAAGGAGCAAAGCCAAACTGAGGTGATTCTTGGAGATCTCGTCCAGCGGTGGCGCGACCGAAGCAGACGAAGGGTCTAAAAACTGACGCGTCGGTCGCTGAATTACTTCTAGACAGGAAACTTCAACAGTAATTCTGAACGCGCACAAGGACTGTCGCTGTATTTCTCTTCCCTTAAAAAAAAATCCTCTATACAACCTTTAAGTCTTTTTGAGAGCTTTTCTAAAGTGAAGACTAATTACGCTTTATTAAGCATTTACTAAGCATGAATCATTATTAATTAAATCTTTGTTCATTATTAATTAAGTCTTTGTTCATGCTTTATTAAGTTTAAAGGTTGTATAGAAGATTTTCCAAGGAAAGAGAAATACAGCGACCCTTTGTCCTTTTTTAAATGTTGCGCTTCGCACCTTTTCCCCTTCTCGTCTTCTTTCAGCAACGGCAAAAACTGACTTTCTTTTGCGGCGAACCGGTCGTGAATTCTTGTCTGCCATTAAAACAAAATTTGTGCAAACTGAGAGCTACAGTTCAAAAAAAGACGCCAAGAACCGCTAAACACGAACCGCGAACATAAATCACACAATCCCAGCGCGTCGGCAAGTCAGCGACGCTAGAAACGTAGGGAGTTTGATTGACAACCTAACAGCCAATAGATAAAGAGGTAGCCTTGTTATCTATTGGCTGATGTTTATCTGGCCTCACTACGTCCACAGTTGATGGATTTTCATTCTTTTTTTTTTTTTTTTTGGTCATCATAATTACAAGGCTGCTTCTTCTTTACAATTCTATTTTGAACTTTCATTGACAATAAAAAAATAAAAATAAAAATCCTCCATACAACCTTTAAGTAAGGTGTAGTTATTATAAAGTGTTACCAGAATTTCGGACTTCTGGTCATCGCACAATTCATACTGGGAAGGATTTTCCGTAAAAGTGAGCATCAAACCGACATGTTTATTTCCCAGTGGGAGGAGTCTATTGTCAAAGTGGATCTTTTCAAGTCTTTTGAACCATATCACTTTTGTTTCTGGTTCTGATATTGTCATATTTTAGTTTTGGGATTCGGACATCGTTAATTGTGTGGTTGTTGGATCCTAACAGCGGAAAACGACTCGAGAAATGGTTTCGGACGTTTGTGAACTAGAAATGCGCGGATGGGCTATTTTTTCATTCGCAACCGCAACACAAAACTCATCATCTGCCCGCTGTCCATTTGCACCCAAGGTTTTGACCAAGTTTCAAAACCGCACTCGCCCGCCATCCGCCCATTGATTTTAGAACAATCATACAGCAAACAAACTAAGGAGCCTTGATAAAAATGCAAACTTTAAAGCTCATTCATTCCAAAATTCACTCAACGTGCATGTTCACATTCTTAATTGTCCGTCACAAAAAGCCGCTCGTTGCTCGGGGTTTAACTCCCTGTTCGGAGCCTCACCGTGAGTGCGTGGGCTCAATAAACGCGCCAGTTCGTTGCTCAAGAATCGTGGCTTTATTTGCCGTGATGCACTAAATATCAGGACAATTGATTCCTGACTCGCTTTGGTCGCCTTCCTATCGTTCATTTCATATCGTTCCCATTCAAGAAGCGCGTGCCTCAGGGGCGCGCACGCAGTCACTCCGTCACGCTCACGCCACACGCCACTATAAACATTACACATAGGGAGTAAAGACACATATCTCATAACACTTAACAATATCGGCTGTAATATATATATTTTTTTATTCGAGCAGTTAAACCGCCACCCGCCTGAATTTAATAAAAGTATTATTTTTCGTCACGTCATCCACCCGACGACCGCGGTTTAGCTGCGGACACCACGGGTGTAACCGCAGTCCGCGCAGCTCTACTGTGAACTCCATAAATGCAAAAGGGAATCAGATGTGTGTGACTGCAAACCTCTGTTCAAACTGTTTCTCTGCCCAACGGAATTGAAAAATAGTGAAAGGTGAAGGCGATGGGCAGGATTGATCCACAGGAAGGACCAAAAATGAAACGAAACGAAAATCGGGAAACAGTACATAAAGAAAAAAGAAGCCGCTCTGCAACATCAGCACTTTTAACAAAAACACAGTGAAGACATAACTGACAAGAATAGCAACAGAGGAGGAAAGGGAACTGGAGTCGATCCCAAAATATAGACGGGCAGCCTCTAGATCCTGCAGCCAGGGGGCAACAAAGCGTCGAGATGGATGTAGACGAAGACAGACATTCTGTGTTGGCAATGATTCTCGAGATCGAGGATTTAAAGCTGGAACAAAAAGGATGTTTGGTGAATTTTATCAAGGAGAAAGACGTTATTGTTCTTTTTCCTACGGGATTTGGCGCAATACATACGTCACGACAAAATAAAAGCGACTGGTTAAATAAAAAAAGTACCCGCCTTCAGTTGAGCGAACGAATCCTAATGCTGCGAGGTCAGACGGTTTCCACGAAATGAAACTGGCTGATGAATCGGGCAACTTTTTTTTACTCTCACACACCTGGGATACTGTCCTGAGGAAATGGGACTGCAGATGGCGCTGTCGTCCTGCCTCCACCGGTAGGAAGACGGCGACAAAACCTGTAGAAATCAGATGACCGGTGAGGCTAGATAGCAGTCGAAACGGTCTTGGTCTGAAAAAAGAACCTAATAACTTCAATTATTATTATTATTTAAAGGTTGTATAGAGGATTTTCCAAGGAACGAGAAATCCAGCGACTGTTTGTCCTTTTTCAAATGTTGCGCATGCGTGAAACCCCCCCCCCTCCCCTACAGCTCCTACGTAGAAACACCTTCTCCCGCCTCCTCCTTACGCCAGAAACAGGTTTGTTTACAGCCGGTGCTGCACATGACTTGTAAACAACTAACTACAGTGTTGGTTAGACAAGACAGAGAAGTGAGGAGCAGGGAGGAGAGAGGGGAGGGGTGCGCGGAGATTCCGTGCCCGGAGAAGTGAGGAGCAGGGGGAAGAGCGGATCGGGCAGCGGGAGAGGAGCAGGAAAGGGGAGCAGAGAAGGTTGCGCGGAGATTCAGTGCGAATGAACTAGCTACAACACGCAGCAGCAAGCGGACTCTTTCTTTGCCTTGAAAATTACGTTTTCAGACATAGGATATCACTTTCGTGTCCTGAAAAACGTTTGTCTCGCTCTTGGAAATAAAGTACGTTTTCATAATAAGCAGAAGTTTCCTGTCCAGGAGTAATTTGTGGACCAGTGGTTCAGTCTTTAGACCCTTCGTCTGCTTCAGTCGCGCCATCGCTGGAATGAATCTTCAAGAATCACCTTAGTTTGGCTTCGCTGCTTTTCCCCTTGTCTTCTTCTTTCAGTGACCTCAAAAACTGACTTTCTTTTGCAGCGAACTGCTCCTGGATTCTTGTCGCCATTGCAACAAACTTTGTGCGAACTGCGAGGAAGATATAGGTCAAAAAAAGCCGCTAAGAACTGTTGCGTTGGTGGAGTAAACAGCGTCTGTGCGTCTTGCGTCTGTGGACTGTGTGACAGTCGTACGTAAACCACGTACCGGCGGCGCAGGCAAGTCAGTTACTCTAGAAACGTAGGGAGATTGATTGACAGCCTGTCAGCTCACAGATAACGAGGCAGTGTCGTTATCTATTGGCAAATGTTTAGCCCCACCACGTCCAGAGTTGATGAATTTTTATTCTCTTTTTTTTGGTCATCATAATTACAAGGCGACTGCATCTATAATCTATCATTGACAATTTAAAACAAAAAAAAAATCCTCCATACAACCTTTAATTATTATCAAAAGACCAAATGAACCTCTTTGGACTATTTGAATTCCCGTCTAACTTTTTTTTCTCTTCTCTCCAGGTAAGAGTAACAAAGAGGTCCTGGACATGCTGAGCTCAGGGTACCGTCTCTCCTGCCCCACGCGCTGTCCTCCAAACATCTACCGCATCATGCTGGACTGCTGGGCCCTGGAACCCTCCAAGAGACCCTCCTTCCACGCCCTGCACAGCCAGCTCGACAGCATCTACGCCAAAATCTACTTCAAAACCATCGAGGTATAGCATCGGGAGACCGGCGACGGACTAGAGACCGAGAGAGAGAGAGAGGAATCCACTGTGCTTCCTCACGCCAAAAGGAGAACGGGAGAGAACACGAGAACTGAGGAAATGTCCGTTGAGAATAGGACTTTAAACCACGAAGCTGTGACGAGAGCATTGGAGCTGAAGTGGACGGAATGCCTTTTGTGGAGCGCATTTCGGACGGAGATCGGGAGACGGAGAAACGTCCCGAGGCCCCGTTCAGACTTTGCTTTAAAATCTTTGGATACTACGGGTCGTTTAATCACGGATTTCAACCGCTGCTATGTCCGTATGGAATCAATTTTGAGTCATGAAGTTCGAAGACACTTTTAAAACATCAAGCAAAAAAATGTCAATCAAAATACCAAATAAAAAAATATATATATATAATAAAATAAGATATAAATAAAATAAAAAAAATAAAAATAAATATATAAATAAATACAAATAAATAAATACATAAATAAATACAAATAAAATAAAATATATAAGATTGCAGTCAAATTATTTGCGTCTTTGCCTCTTTTATTTTTGTCTTTCTCAGTTTTGTCTGATTGGTTTTCTTTGGTTCTGATTCTTCTTCTCGTTTGACTTTTTGGTGCAGTTTTGGCACAATCGTGACAGGTGGGCGGGGTTTCCATGGGCGCATTCCCATCGGCTCATTTACGTTTGACGGACAGCTGAGCTCGGACGTTTCCTGGTGAAGTTTTTGGTGCTCAGAGGTTTTCTAACATTCAACGTTCTATGGTGGACAAAGTTTTCTGTGTTTCAGTCGCCAAAACTTCACCAGTAAAACGTCCACAACGGCTTCAGGAGCTCCGAGCTCAGCTGTCCGTCAAACATAAATGAGCCAATGGGAATGCGCCATGGAAACCCCGCCCACCTGTCACGATTGTGCCAAAACTGAAACCAAAAAAGTTAAACGAGAAGAAGAATCAGAACCAAAGAAAAGGCACGAAACAAAAATAAAATGTTTCCACAGACATTTTACACAATTATACAAATAAATATATTGATTGCAAATGTATTTACTTTATTTGACTTTTTTGGTTGATTTTTTTCAATTTGATTTTTTGATTTATATATTTTTTTGTTTTAAAAGTGTTTTTGAACTATATGACTCAAAATTGGTTCCATATGTTTGTATGTAGGTTAGAGCTGAAAATATCAGGAAAAAAAAAAAGATAATATAACAAAACAAATAACAATAATGAGGCTCAGTTTAGGCTCAGTTTAAAACCAACATTCTAAAGGTGCAGTATGCAGCTTTTCTGAAACCTGCTCGTCTCCATGGCGATGTTATTGCTTTGAATGGAATGTTCCGCAGTAAGGCATGTAGCTGTCTTACATTTATTCACCTGCAGCAGTTTGTATGGCTGACAAATGCCTTGAAAAGCGTACACAACCGGTCAAAAGTTCTAGAACACCACACTTTTTCCATTTTTTTTACTGTTTGCTGTTGACCAAAACATATTCTAAACTTTTGATTGATGAAAGTGTCGACCTTTGTCATATATAACAGCTGAAAACACAACAGAAATCAAATATTGTTCAGAAAGTTCTTCCCAAGTCTGTCGCAGAAGTTTCCATAAATGTGTGACACTTGTCGGTTGCTTCACTCTTCTGTCCAGTTCATCCCAAAACCAGCTCCATGGGGTTTAAGTCTGTTTTGTTCGTTTATCTTTTTTTCTTTGTGCCACTTCAAGCTCTTCATTGGACTTGCACGACTTGAATCGCAATAAATAACTGGAAATATCAGGGTGTTCTAAAACTTTTGACCGGTAGTGTCCACTCTGACTTTAATGGGCTTGCCATTCCACAGATCTGACCCGTTACTTGACCTGGTGACACCCTTTTTAACTGTAAAACATCTCAGGCAAAGCAATAACACCTCTACGAAGGCGAGCAGGTTGTGGATCTTCTACCAGACAAGTTACACCGTGCACCTTTAAGCTCAGATTGACGAGTCTCCTGAGGCAAATTGAGTCTGACAAGAGACTTCAGACTTTTTAAAATATTCATTCTTAATTCAAACTGAAATGGTAGGAAATACGGGTTTAAAAATCTGAAAAAAGTCTAGGGGAAAAGCCAAATAAACCAGAACTTGAGAAACACAATGTAAATGCACATGGGTGGTAGTTTGGCGCCCTCTGGTGGTTCTCAGGACGTACTGCAGAATTTTAAATACACCTTTTTCACAGGGTTTAGGGTTTTAGGGTTTAGGAACTTCTGGTTAATGGTTTTCTGTGGCAAAATATCTCTGTAAACGTCTGGTGCACTCTAAACCAGCTTCATAAATCTGCCCCATCACCAAATCTTCAACCAACAAGGTCCACAAAGGATAAACAAGAAATGAAGAATTTATCCACAACTAGATGAAAACTTCAAGGCGAAGGAAGTTTGTGTTTTTTTTGTAGCACAATTCATACACAAAGTTTACAGAATGAGAAATACATTAAAATCACAATAAAAACAAATCAAAACATAAATAATCATCATAAAATTAAAGAATTGAGTGAGAAGAGTGCAGAATCAAAACCTTTTTAAACTAAATCGCTTAAACTAAACAGAACAGTTTTGAGTTTGGATTTAAACGGTGTCAAAGTTCAGTCTGTCTCACATTTTCAGGAAAACTGTTTCAGGTTTTAGTGAATCTGAAACTCTGACTCCTCGTGTTTAGTTTTAAAAGCTAAAAGCATTAGAGAACTACTTCTGAGTAAAACTAAAGTTATGGTCATGAATAAAACATAAGTACCTTGTTCACTCAGACTGATTCTGCAATTAAAATTAAAAATCTATTTCATGACGTTGATATTTGCATAGACAGAGATATTTGTGCAGTTTGAATGCGAGACATGTTCACAGGTTATATTTACATCATGAAATAGATTTTTTAATTTAAATTCTAGAATCAGAATTGAAATGAGGCTTTCTTACCCTGATAGTTTTCCAGTTCAGTCCAACTTTATTTGTACACATTTTATTAACAAAACAGTTTCCAAAATGCTTCACTTAAAAAAAAAAAAAAAAAAAAAAAAAAAATCTGCAGAATTATGAGAATCTAATAGAATCAATAAATAAAATAAAATAATAATAAAATTAAAAATATAAATAATAATAATAATAATAATAAAATCAATAAGTAAAAGCAGTACTAAAAAATAGATACAAACTATAAATAAATAAATAAATAAAAGTAATAAAATAAAATAATAAAATAAATAAATATAATAATATGAAAAAGAAAGTAATAATAATAAAAAAAGAAAATAAAGAAAAGAAAAAAGAAATAAAAGACACAAAGGAACTCACGCGGTGTTAAAAGCCACAGAATAAAAGTTGGTCTTAAATCGAGTCTTAAAACTTTCCACTGTGAGGCTGTTCGAACATGGACGGGCAGAGCGTTCCAGAGTTTTGGGGCCGACCACAGTGAAGGCCCCGTCCCCCCCTTTTTTTTTGAAGTTTTAAGTCTCGTTTTAGGCCCCACGAGCTGGAGCTGGACCTCGGGGGTGTAAATCTGGATGAGGTCCGAGACGTACTGCGGAACCGGTCCGTTCAAAGCTTTAAAAACAAATCCCAAAATCTTAAAATCAACTCTAACGTGAACAGGAATCCAGTGATGGAGTTGGCGATGGAGCAGATTTATGAAGCTGCTGGAGAAAACGAAACGACACACATTTCCCGAAACATTTTGCCACGGAAAACCCTTAACCGGAAGTTCTGCAAACCTACAAAGCGACACTGAAAAAGTTCTGTTACTGCGTCTTGGATTTTAGACTCCAGATAAGACATTTTAAAGCCGATTTAAATCTGGTTCAGTCCTTATTTAGTCCTGATGGTGCTCAAAAACAGCTCGTGTAGATAGAATTTGTAAAGATTTAACCTTAAAACAAAAAAAAGTGAGCTGTTTTTTACCTTTTAAACTTCCATAATTCCCAAAAATCCAGACGTATCCAGATCATAAAGCGGTTTGAACGGGGTTTAAACCACTTTTACTTACAACTTGAGCACAGTGGCAGCGCCTGTAGCTGTTACTTTTGTACCTTTTGTGTTTTTATAATGTTTGAATTCTAAACGAAATGTGCCATGATACGGGTCAGGAGCGGCCAGTGCAAAACAAAGAGTGCAATAATGTGCAATAATAATAATAATGAAAATGTACAGTGTTTAAAGGGTTAAAAGCCAAACTGCATTCTTAAACTTTGGAGATGAAAATATGAGCTTTTGAGTTTTGAGGTTGGTCGAAAAATGTGCTCACGTGCGTCAAGAAGGAAAAAACTCGTCACACTTTTTAGTTTTTTAAAGGTTCATATTGCGTAAATCCACGTGTCATTCGTTCATTCGTTTTTTCAAAATAAAACTGAAAATGAGAAAACGAAAAAGCAACTGTTTTCTTTGTTATTTGTCTCCAAAACCAAAATGAAAAAAACAGATAATGATTTGTTTTTTCAGTTTTCGATTTTGTGTTTAAATGAAAATTGGAAAAAAACAAACAAAAACTGGACTGGAACTGAGATCAGGACCAGACCGAGACTGAGACCGGGACCTGGTTTAGACCTGGTTTAGTCCTGGTGTAGTTTTTTTTTTAGTCCTGGTTTGGTCCCGGTCTCAGTCCTGGTCTCAGTCCTGGTCTCCTGGTCTGGTCCCGGTCTCGGTCCTGGTCTCAGTCCCGGTCCCAGTCTGGTCCTGGTTTCATTCCTGATCTCGGCCCTGGTCTCAGTCCTGGTCTCAGTCCCGGTCTTATTCCTGGTCTGGTCCCGGTCTCGGTCCTGGTCTCAGTCCCGGTCCCAGTCTGGTCCTGGTTTCATTCCTGGTCTCGGTCCTGGTCTCGGTCCTGGTCTCAGTCCTGGTCTCAGTTCTGGTCTCAGTTCTGGTTTGGTCCCGGTCTGGTCCCAGTCTCAGTTCCGGTCTCATTCCTGGTCTGGTCCCGGTCTCGGTCCTGGTCTCAGTCCCGGTCCCAGTCTGGTCCTGGTTTCATTCCTGGTCTCGGTCCTGGTCTCGGTCCTGGTCTCAGTCCCGGTCTTATTCCTGGTCTGGTCCCGGTCTCGGTCCTGGTCTCAGTTCTGGTCTCAGTTCTGGTTTGGTCCCGGTCTGGTCCCAGTCTCAGTCCCGGTCTCATTCCTGGTCTGGTCCCGGTTTCGGTCCTGATCTGGGCCTGATCCCAACACTACTGGTTTAGTCCTGGTTCGTTTTTTTTTTTTCCCATTATTCATTTAAACACAAAATTGAAAAAAACAAACAAACAAAAAAAAACAAAAAACGAATTGTTATCTGTTTTTTTCATTTTGGTTTTGGAGACAAATAATGAAGAAAATTTGGATTTACGGATTTACACACATTTTTTGGATCTGTTATAAAGTTGTTTCCTCGTCACAAACAAAAACAGACCTGGAGTTTTAACATTAAACACACAAACTCTCCACTGTGTTTTTAAACTCCACACACCTTCAGTAGAATCTTAAGAGCTGCAGTTTCAGCCTCACTGAAACGTCCTTGTTTCTTAGTGCATCCACACTTTCTCAATCGAACAGTAAATCAGTTCAGTGGAGCCTGAAAATAGCTGAGGCACGGATCTGAGCCGGAGAAAAGAAATGATTTGAGAGGAGAGATAAAGAGTCTGTTTTTGTTACGAAAGACAATTCATCTTTGAACAGAAATGGAAGCCTCAGACATAATTTGTCTCTAATTTACAACTCCATCCTCAGACCCAAAACAAAGAAAACAATAGGCGAGTAAAAGCCCGCGTTGCTGCTGGGAAATATTTTGGTCGGAGGCAAGAAACAGGATCGCGGTCAAACACAGTGCGTAACCTCGAGTATTTATCCCCGTAATT